GTTCCTTATCGACTGGGTGACATCACTCATTACTTTTGTCGTCATCTTTGCACTGTATCTGATAGTAGTTTATCGTAAGCCGGATGTGAATTGGGGTAGCAGCACACAAGCGCAAACTTATAAAACTGCACTTTCCATCGTTTACAGGTATTATTGAAAAATAAAAAAGCATAACATTTTCCGTTTGAGATGAATCAGACTTCTCAGCAATAAATTAGTAAATTAATCGGATAAGAATTATGAATAACTTTTTGCTCTACTATCATCGTTTTTTTTTAATTTATTAAACTTAAAGCGATACTTCTCTCTACGATTTATAATAATTTCTAGATTGAATTCCATCGACGAGCACGTGAAGAATTACGCTCCTCAGATCCTGGCGCTTACCGGTCCTCCTAGCGCGAGACCCGCATTATTACAATTAGCGAATCTCATCACGAAGAACAATTCCCTGCTAATTTCTGGCGAAGTCTATTCGGTAGTTATAATACAATTTTACGCTTATTATTTCTATCATTGCTTATGTGCTAAGTTTCGCAATTCGTGATTTTAGACACGACTTTCGTATCGATTACGCTCGGCGCGTTTAAGGAGCGGTTATTCCTGGCTTCATCAACAACGTATAAAATCATTCTATCATGTGGTGGAGGATTTAAGTCTGGAACGAGGCGCGGCTGCGTTGATGCAGGCCACTGGGGTTGGCAAATTAGCCCCCAACGTGGTCCTCATGGGTTACAAGACTCATTGGTCGACATGCAATTACAAAGATCTGCAGGAATACTTCAACATTCTTCAGTAAGACTGTTATATATTACTTACTTTAAAATTATTCCAAAATTGCGGGCCGAATATGAGCTGCTGATGTTTAAAAATTTGACGCACATTTTTCCCTTTTCCAGCAACGCTTTCGATCACAAATTGGCTGTGGCAATTTTGAGAATTGCTGAAGGTCTGGACTGCTCTACTATGACGAATGCGAATGGTGAACACGATGAACACGGAGTTCTTGCACAGAGTAGCTACGATTTAGCAGGAAACACTCTGATGCACGCCGACAGCGATCTCTCGATGAGCACGCAGATTCCCAGGGTACAGAGCGTGCCTACAATAGGTAAAAATCGATACCATATTAAGCAGAAGAAAATTGCATCGATCTTGATATTTATAATCTATCATTAATTACAATCAAAATCATCTCGTCATTTTATTATCAACACGTAATTATCATTTTGTCCTTTAAAAATCTACTCAGATTAATTCAAGATAAAAATGTATCATAAATAAATCACAAAATTGTAATTAAAAAGATTTTAAGATTGTAATTAAAAAGATTTTACGAATGATTTTTTTCAATATTTTGCGATAAACGTGTATTTATTAATTAATGTTGTTTCACAGGTACTCCATTTGTAACACATACTGACGTAATACATATGATCAGAGATTCACCAATACATTGCATTCGAGAAAACTTAAAAATGAAGAAAAAATATGCTACCGATAAATTATTGTAAGTATAACAGTGTATAACGTGGTCAATAATTGTTGGTGAAAGTTTTTCGTATCATTTAAAATCAACTTTTCCTAACAAAAATTCGATAAAATCGTTATTAAAACCCATTTTTTAATATTAAATTTTTCAGTAAATCAAGTTTCTAATAATATCACTTAAAATTAACTAGAAAATAAAATTTATTTTTTCATTTATATGGTTAAAATTTAACTTGTTGCATTTCTTTAATTTAAAAAATTAATAAATATTTCTTTGCCAATCAAAAATTTTGTATTCTGAAAACAAAATTTATAATATCAAAATTATCGAAAATTAGATCGTCTTTATTTGCTATTAACAATTGATTACTTATCTTTTAGTGAGAAACGCAACGGCATGGCTTCTATACCAGAAAATATAACAGTTTTCCAAAAGAAACATAAGAAAGGAACGATTGACGTATGGTGGTTGTACGATGATGGAGGTAACTTATAAAAATTAAATTTCAACAGACGGTTGTAATATGTGTCCATGATAATTAAATGTGTCAAAATCATTCACATATAGATCTCGCGTTGAAATTTTCAATTTATTTATAAATGATGAAATGATCATTTAATAGGTCTAACGATTCTTCTGCCGTATATAATTAGTACTCGGTCTAATTGGGAGACCTGCAAGATAAGAATATTCGCTCTTGCCAATCACAAACAGGATATCAGTGCGCAAGAAAAAGAGTAAGTAAAGAATAAAAACAAAATATTCCATAAGTACATAAACTTTTTTAATAATTTAGAATTTCTTTATCAAGATAATTTCTTTATCAAAGAAATAATCTTTTAATAATCTAACTTTTTTAATAATTTAGAATTTCTTTGTCAAGATAATTTCTTTATCAAAGAAATAATAATTAAATAAATAATGTGACACGCAGGCAAAGGTCAAAAATTAAAAAATAAATAGATGTAAAAAATAAATAAATCTTATTTGAAGATTGTATTTTGATATTTATATTAATTAATATATTATTAAAATTATTCTGTAGAATGGACGAAATAATGTGCAAGGCTCGAATAGAATACAGTAGTTTAAAGATGGTAGATGATATTAGCGTCGAACCAAAACAGGAAACTTTGTCTTTCTTCGACAAACTAATATCTGACTTCCGAAAGAATGATACTTCTGACAATTCAGGTAAGTTATCGTCATAGTTTTTACTCTAATGAAATCAATTACTTTTTACTCAATTACTTTTAACATTCGATGAACTACTAATTATTATTATTTCCAGAATGTTACGTTACCGATTTCGAGCTTCAAAATCTACGGGATAAAACGTATCGACAATTGAGATTACGAGAATTATTGTTGGAGAACTCGAATGAGTCCACCTTGATAGTCATGTGAGTATAATAAAATATCAAGCTTTATCTTTGCTACAGAATTACATGTACATATTTGTACGCAATAACTTTTGTGATTTCGTAAATTTTATTTATGTAAAAATTATATAATTTTAATTAATATGATAATAATATTTAAGAAAAAATGTATAAATTAAATACAAATTTTTGAAGCTACCTGTCAGATCACATTCTGCTACAAATGGATTGCTCATAAAATATATAACTCACATGTGCATGTTATGTGCAGCTATTGCATTATCATTCCTTTTTACATCGCTATTGATAATTTTCTAAAAATATATCTTTATGCTCGGTAGGTCTTTACCAATGCCAAGAAAAGGCGCAGTTTCGGCGCCATTATATATGGCTTGGTTGGAAACGCTTACGAGAGATATGCCACCGACGATTTTAGTCCGCGGGAATCATACATCCGTATTAACATTCTACTCGTAGTCTATCGATTGTAATCTAGCTATAATTAACTAATGTGATTTGCGTCAAATTGTTGACACGCCAGGAGAAATTTGTCTCCATTACAAAGATCTTTTTTCAATTCGGAGACGCATAGTGTGTTTGTGTATACATATATATACATATATGTATATATATATATATATATATATATATATATATATATATATGTATATATAATATATACACATGTGGGATATTTATTGCCAAAAGATCGTGGAGGTGTGCGAATACCTCAACAAGTCTTTGTTTTTATACTTGTACTTCACGTCAACATTATGATATCTCATCCTGTCGATTTGTAAGTTAGAATTAAAAAAGATCCTCTTGTTATATGTATATAAGTGTAGTATAATAAGATGATTCTGGTACCTGTAGAATAATGTCTCTCGACTGTTTCGCTTCTTGATTATTTAATTCAGCATATAATACATCACTATAATATGCAGGGTATTTCTTAACAAGTGCGAAACATTTTAGGAGATGATTCTTTGTCGAAAATTAAGGGAAATTTTTCATATAAACATACACTCCTCCCTATGGAGTAAAAATTAAGTTTTTATTTTTTTCTCAAATTTGGAACAAGTTAAAGAGTTATCCACCTCATTTCATTTCTTTAACTTGTCCCAAATTTGAGAAAAAAATAAAAACCTAATTTTTACCCCTATTTTTACTTCACAGGGAGGGATGTAAGAGTATATGTTTATATGAAAAATCTCCCTTAATTTTCGACAGAGAATCATCTCCTAAAATTTTTCGCATTTATTAAGAAATACCTTGTATATATCATTATAGCGACTGAATAAAATAAAAATGAAAATTTTTGAATAAGACCGTGCTTGAGAGCGTAACTTAAAATAGATGATATAAACATTATAGTGATAATCAATCAAAGATTTTTGGCAAAAAGAAATATTAAATATACGTAAACAAGAATAAATTAATAATGTTCCTATAATCCTTTTTTAAGGAAGTAGGAAATATTTGCAGAGAATAAAAAAAAAATTACCCTGCATATCGTATTGTCATGTTAAGAAATGCTATATTTGTACAGAAATTCTGATAAGTGAATTAAATTTTCACAATTTTTTCACTGCAATCTCATGTGAAATTATGATGGACAAGTGAAAAATTATTGATAAAATATAACAAAGACTTTCTTTTTTTTTCAGGATTTATGTAAAGAGATATGTGTCTCTTATTATTTATTTGTAATTATTTTGCTTTTATATGTAAATATAACTCTAACTTAATTATTTACATCATATAGAAAAGACAAAAATGTATATTTATGATACATTAACATAAGATACGTAATAAGCATTTTAAGTATATATTATATAATTAAAACAATGCGACACAATTTTAAACAGATATATTAAAACATATTATTCACTCTATTCTGTTATTTTTACAATTATCTTGCTATACATCTTTTATAGATCTCTTTTTCCAGGAAACATTAATTATTATAATCATGATTCAATGTAATTAGAAAATAATGTAATTATGATATTTCGTCTAAAGAAAATCGTTTGATAATATTAATAAACTATATTTTTTATTTGATAAAAATATTTATTTATATAAGCCTTCAAAAAGTATCAAATTACAAAATTACATAAAAATGCATATACAGCATATTAACATATATATTTGAATCTATTTCGCTCTGAGAAATCAGTACTTTTAAATGTATATATTCCAATTTGTAATATATAATTAAAGTTCTTTTATTGCTTATATACATAATGTCACAAAAATATATTCAGGAATCAGTGCTTCGAGTTCGACCTCTTCCATTAAATGAATAAGTTCTAAAATCCATTATAATAGCAATAATAGCAATAATCATTAATATATTTACATACACAATTATCCCTTTGTTTTATTTAATGTAAAATAAATATTACTTTCCAACAAAACCATCATTCTACATAAACAATATAATTAAAAGATAATAATTTAATTTACTTGTTGCAATGAGTTTCAAAGATTTTGTTAAAAACTGGCTGTATCTGTTCCAACATATCTGATGTCAACATTCCTCTTTGGCGTAATTTAAAGACTGATGCATTGCATTCTCGAACTAATCTTGATGCAGCATAACATGCTACAATCGAGGGTGACAAAGCGCATTCGCTGGTCCCTGCAGAGATAGCCCACCACCAGAAGACGGTCAAAGAACCAGCCAAGAGGTCTCCCTGTCCACCGCATCTTCTTCCAGAACCAGCCAATCCACATGACACAGTTTCTGTACCTTTATGACCATCTACAATCACATCTTTCGCTCCCTTATGCAGAATTATTACATTCTTTCCAAGAGCTTCTGCCACATGCTTGACATCAGAAACTTTGACTAGAGGAGTAGGCGGAATGGATCTGTCCAGTACTGCTTTAACTAAACGACTAAACTCCATCGCATTGGGTGTCAGAATAACTCCTGGATAATCCTTTATGATTTCTGGTTTTTGACAAACTAAAAACAGGCCATCTGCATCGATAATCAGTGGTTTTCTCATTTCTCGACAAATTGATACCAATTCGACAATCATTTTGAATATCTTTTCATCTCTGCCAAGCCCAGGTCCAATCAGGACAACATGTAGCCGATCAAGCCAAGGTTTTATATGCTTTATTGCATCATACTGATCCAACACAGGATGAACTATCGGCTCTGGACTAAATGATTTAATAGGAATGCTGGCATCTTTTGCACAGAATATGTGAACAAGATCAGCGCCAGTTCTCAACGCACTCATAGCTGCAAAATATGGTGCTCCTGTATACTCGGTACTTCCGCCAAAAATTCCAATTCTACCATCTTGACCTTTGTACTTGGTATTGACCAGGTTCGGTATCACCTTTCTTATTCCCTTTAACATACGCTCGTCCATAGATGTTGATGCAGACATTGTCGACATTAATGCAAATTTGAGATATCTCCTGTGGACAAAATTATAAATAGCAGATACCATCTTTCAAACTTAAAAAAAATAATCTCTTAAAGCATACAAACATGTATTATGCAAAATTTAACCCAGCTCTTCTTACACGAAGAAAAATATTAAATATTTATAAAGCCCTTCAAGCTAGAAATACAATAATTTACATGTTATAATCAAATCTTTATTTTTTTATTACCTGTAATATCAAAAACTGACAAAATTATCTATGTAGTATGTTAGTATTTCTTTGCATAATAGATATGCACATGAAAGAGGTCGAACAAGAGACTCATAAATATTGCAAGATAAAGATGAATTTATTACTCTTGTAAATTTTAATAGCTTGGCAACAAATCTTGTATCAGTGATGTATTATGGAAATTTTGTTACGAAATAAACAGTCATACATAGCATACTATTGTAATACACAAATGTGCAAACAAAAACAATTGTCTATAGAATTGATATATTTTTGTCCAATACGTCAACCAGTTGACATATCGATTTGTATTGTCAAAAAACTGATGAGTCAGATATGAACAGAGGGAAAAAATGACAGACTTACAGCACGCATTTAAATGATCTCTGAAGACGACACGATCTCTGTAAACATAAAAACGTGGACATGAACTAGGAAGCCATATCCATGAATGTTTTCAGTGGATAACATATATAATGTGCACAATTTCTGGTTGTGTTCCGTGCTATGTGCACGAAATGCCATAAATTTTTAGTTTAATTTAATTAAATTTTTAATATAAATAAATTTTGTAGCCTCTCTCTCTTTTTCTCAGAGATAAAAATCTCTCTCCCAGAGATAAAAATTTATGGCATTTCGTGCACATAGCACAGAACAGAACCAGAAACACATTATATGTTACTCTCTGAGAATATTCATGGACTTTGGTTTGTGTTCATGTTCACGTGTTTAATGACAGAGGGCATACTTCACTTTCAGGGACTCGTGCTCCGATGATAATATTGATTCTAGTAAGATCGAACCTCGTGGTTCGAAAGACGTGTAGAGACGAAAATCCGTAAAGAGGAAGAGACGAGCAAGGTATGCGTTTTTTCATAAATATGAATAAAATATAATATTTGAGTGTAAAATACTGTATTATATAAGTATATAATAATTTAAATCGCATATTGTGATTATAGACTACGTTAAGCTTCATGATTTTGACGTGTTACAATAATGTCTTAACCCCAAAATCTTTTCAGATGTTAACGACGAATGCAAAGATAATTAAAAGCGGTGGGGCTGAGCCCGACCAGTTCGAGATTAGCGTTTCTCAAGCTCTTCTCGAATTGGAAATGAATAGCGATCTCAAATCGCAGTTGAGGGAACTCTACATCACTAAAGCAAAAGAAATTGAAACGAACAACAAGAAGGTAAATTTTTATTAATTCATGTAGTTTGTATATTATACACAATATCTCTTCCAATATGCTTTTATTTTTCTATCAAAACTGCAAACTTAATCTTTTCATGCTCAAGTATACAAAAATATGTAAGAAAAAATTTTTATACTTTGCAAGCATAGTTTCATATTATCAATATTTTTTTTTAAATATTTATATATTTGGATATACATGTTTTGCTATAAATTATAATATATTTCTCAAGAAAGCCATAACAATTTTGTTTTTTTACAGTCAATCATTATATATGTGCCAATGCCAAAGTTAAAAGCATTCCAGAAAATTCAAACAAGGCTAGTACGTGAATTGGAGAAGAAATTTTCTGGAAAACATGTAATGTTTATTGGCGAACGTAAAATCTTGCCCAAACCAACAAGGAAAACTCGCACCAAGAATAAGCAGAAACGTCCCAGAAGGTAAGAGAATAAAAGAGAACAATTAACATGTCATAAAAAATTGTTTATAAATTTCTATATGTGTGCATTAATATTATATAATCTTTATTTAGCCGCACTTTGACTTCTGTCTATGATGCAATATTGGAGGATTTAGTGTATCCTGTAGAAATCGTTGGCAAGCGTATCAGAGTGAAACTTGATGGATCGCAGCTTATTAAAGTTCATCTTGATAAAAATGAGCAGACAAACATCGAACACAAGGTTTATTTATTCTTCTTTTTGTGCACAACTGTATTTATATGATATCATTCTATTGTACAACAGATAACTATATTTCAATGTCTTTTCACAGGTTGACACTTTTGCTTCAGTGTATAAGCAATTGACTGGACGGGATATCACATTCGAATTTCCCGAATCTTATGTATGATAAATGTAAGAAAAATAAAATGAAAAGTGTTTGAACCAATAATTCTATTATGTATGCACATTTTATTCTATTTTTCCCTATTTTTGAATGTACTAAATTTTCATTAATTTAACATTATTGGATAAATATAGAATTATTTGAAAAATTGTATTGTGAATAATCACATTAATGAAAGAAAGAAGGAAAACTAGAGTTCTTGTAAAGTATATTTACAAAGAAAAATGAAATAATTGTATATAAATATTTCATATGTACAATTTATCAAATGTATTAATTGGCTATTTCTAAAGCTTTTAAAATTTTATTCGATAAAACTCGATCAGTAAAATGAATTGAATACAAAAAATAAGTATTCAAGCGTTCTCTGAAAAGATAAGGATAATAAAGATAAATCGCAGGAGGAGTATAGCTACAGAGAGAAGACTGAGAGATGCCATAGCCTGCTTTTAGATGATACTACCTATAATTTAAAATTCTACGTGTATATTCAGTAATACATAAAATATTTCGACAGAGAATTATTAATAATATCATGTCTGGCCTTGACAGTGAGCGCGCTATTATTTACAAGTCACGGCCTTGTCATCATTTGCACGGTGACACTCGAATAATAAAGTAGTGGTGTGCGAAACGCTTTGTATATTGAAATTTTTTATTTAAGCACAATTACGATTAGTATCCAAACATAATTTGCTAAATATTAATAAATATATATAATTTGCTAAATATTAATAAATATATATTTTGCTAAATATTAATAAATATTAATGAAAATTAATTTACTTTTAATAAACGACAGGAAATTGTATCGCAATAATAAATTTATCGAATCGCAATCATTCATTACTGTGAATAAAAATTGAAACAGGAGATACATAAAAGAGGATAAGAGAATTAATTATGTTATGATCCTTCGATCAGCGATGCTTATTATAATATTTCTTTCAATATTTCTTAACAATATTAATGCTTAATATAATATTTCTTAACAATATTAGAATTAAATATATTTCAATCAATGTTTTAAATTTTCTCAATCCTTGTTAATTAAACAATATATCACTTAATCGAGAATCAATTAAATGAATCCAAAATATTAAACAACCACTTCGATTGTTGCAAACTTTACGTATAATAATTATTATTTTAATACTTAAAGTCACAAATATATTTCATTCGTATTATTTTATTACTTTATCGTTCTACTTGATAATCTAAATATAATTTGGATTGTGAGAGAACACGAAGTAAAACAATCGAATTATAGATGCAAAGAATTAACGAAAGGCTCCGTGATAAATTGTTTAATAAATAATCAATTTTACTCAATAAATTAAAATACTTGTATAATTTAATATTCCGTGTTAATGCATATTTTATAATATATAAAATATTTCGGCAACGAATTATCGATAACACGGTGTTCTACTTTGGCAATATAAAATATAAACAGTAGCACACTATACGTTACGGCCTTGTCATCATTCGTACGATGACTCTCGAGTAATAAAGTAGTGGTGAAAAACGCTTTGTATATTGTAATTTTTGTACTAAACACGATTACGATTAGTATCGAAACATAATTTGCTATAAATATTAATAATTAAAAATTAATTAACTTTTGATAAACGACATGAAACTGTATCGCAACGATAAATATTTATCGAATCGTAATCATTCATCACTGTGAATAAAAATTGAAACAGAGGATATATGAAAGGAGACAAGAGAATTAAATATATTATGATTTTGATATTTATTATATTTCTTTAACAATATTAGAATTAAATATATTTTGACCAATGCTTTAAATTTTCTCCTTCTCAATCCTGGTTAATTAAACAATATAAAATTTAATCGAGAATCGATTTAATGTGATAGGAATCCAACATATTAAATAATCACATCGATGTTTGCAATCTTTACGGACAATAATTATTTTTTTAATACTTAGAGTCACAAATATATTCCATTCCGTATTATTTTATCATTCTATTTGGCAATCTAAATATAATTTAGAGAAGGGAGAAATTGTGAGAGAACATGAAGTAAAACAATCGAATTATAGATGCAAATAATTAGCATAATGAATGACTTCATAATGTATAGTTTAATAAATAATCAATTAATCTTAATCAATAAAATCATTAAAATACTTCTATAATTTAATATTCCTCGCACAAATATTTTATATTACAGAAAATACGCAACGAGAGAATTATCAATAACACTGTGTTCGATCTTGATAAACAATATCGCGCTAATGTTAATATGTTACACGGCTTTATTATCACACAGTGACCTTGAGTAGTGACGTTTCACATATTATTAAATTCTTTCTTTACATAGTCAATCTTGGCGATATAAACAGTACCGCGGTAATATTTTTGACTTTTACGATCATTTGCTCAGTGACTCTTGAGCAGTGAAGTAGTGATGTGAAATGTTTCATATATTATCAAATTCTTTTTCTAAACACAATTGCAGGTGCAACGAGGAATTCAAATGAGTGCAACGAGGATTGAAGTGCCGACAAGAAAAAAACGAAGAAAGCAAAAGGAAAAAGGAGGTTTTGGAAATGGATGGATCAATAAGATATGATGTAAGTCATTAATATAAATTATTTATCACATTTATTAATTATTATATTGTTGCGTCCCCGCGTCCCATCCCGCTGAATGTATTCGTCACCCGTTGAATTCTTTCGAAGAAGATCGCCGTGCATGTTGTCAAGATATTGTTATAAACAACCACTATCAGAGAGTTTGAGCCCAGCTGTCAAGCGGGCGTTTACGGACGCGCGTCTATTTGTGATCCGTTTTACGATTATTCTGAATTTTTGTATGTTACTCGCGATTTATTAAAATTCTTGTGCATCTTAAATCGCGTTATTATTAGTTACGAGTGCATGAGCGTGAGCGTCTGCCGATTGTGTCGCGCGCGTTCGATATATATCGTTCGATATATATCGGACGCAACAATATATAAATTATTTATCAATAGTATATATTTATATATATTATATATTTATATATATTATATATATTTAAAATATACATATTTCATGTTTCGTTTTGTTTCTTTGATAATAATTTTATTTTCAATAGTGATTTTAAATTGTAACATATACATAATACATATATTTATAAAAAGTATTACATTTTATTTTAAAATAATTAAAACATTTATACATTTTTTTATTAATTAATATTTTCAGATACTTCTTATATTTTATAAAACATTTTATATTAATATAGTTATTTAAATATTTTGTGTATAAAAAAATAGAATTTTTTTATTTATCATATTTTTAAAAGTTTATATCTAAGAAATATAAATTATTTTGTAAATACGCGATTTATAACATTAAAATATATCTATTTAAAAGTAAAAATTAATTGCACGCAATAATTAGTTTTAAAATCAATTATTTCGAACATTGCTTTTTAAAATTAATTGTAATTTACAATTGTATATATTATAATTTTGTTGTATATATTATAATTATGTAATATATATTATAATTATGTAATATATATTTTACATATGTATTATATTTCCTGTTTGGAAATCTGTATTAAAAGAAAATTAAATTTATCTCTATTAAAAGAAAAATAAAATTTTAAAAATTAAAAAAAATTTTTTCTCCTCGATGTATCTCCACCTTAACAAAGGTTTTTGCCGGGTGAGGAGATTTGCATATTTTCGTGAACCTGAGACCTGCCGGCGATAATGTACGCCGACATTCATATAGATTATTCTTATATTTTTAGATCATTTTAAATATATTCTTAGATCGCGTCTTAAGATTTCAGTTATTAAAATACTTGTATAACATTGTCCAACTTATTTGAGACAATCTTAAATATAAGAGTGAATTATAAATATCGGCCGTAGTTACTATCCAGGTAGCAAGATGACGTCTCTAGACGTCTTAATGACGTACAATGGCGTCATTAAAACGTTATTAAGATGTCATTTGACGTCACTCTGCTACCTGGGTAGTAGGGTCACCCATGCCGGACAGGTTGAAGGAGAAGAGTTAGACTAAGAGATACCAAAATTATATATATATATTATTTTACAAAATTATATACATTACATTAATTATATACAAAATCATATATATTAATTATATTAATATTTTTGAATAAAATGAAAAAGAGACAGTAATCCAGAAAATAGAAAAGAGGCAACTACAGTGATTTGAATATCTATACCCGAGAACAAGTGTCCATAGAAAGTATTCCGATGAACTCCATGGAAAGAAAGAAGCATGACAAATCCTTATGATGTTAGGACAAAGGAATGCAATAAACCATAATAATCCAAGGACCCGAAGAAGGGAATATATTGGATAGAAATAATCAAAAATTATTGATGAATATCAAAGATCAATTTGCTGTTTAAGATTTGCTAATTAAGATTTATAGAAATACGGTTAAAAATGTTTTTACCCCATCAGACATTTTGTTTTTTGTAAATAAAAATAAAAATATTTATTTCATCTTTAAACATTACATTGGAAGATTACAGTATCTTTCGCGATTGAAGTGTCTTTTAACTTCTTATTTATATCTTGTGATACGACATAGAATAGGTATGAATCCATGAATTAAATATATAAGATAGTCCAGACTCCTATTTCTAAGAAGGACTACGGTATTGGCGTATATGCGCCAATGTAAAAGAGAAACGAAACAAACTTTTATGCTACAAAGGAATTGTTTTTCGCTCATTTTCAATTATTTTTTTTATATTTTTATTATTGTAAGACAATATACAAAAGACTTAGGCCTATCCCTATAAGCACACAATATTCCTAGGATATTGTATAAATATTATTAACTGTTAATAATATTTATACAATATTTTAGGAATATTGTGTCTTATAGGGATACCGCACACAGGACGCGGCAACCACTCAGTGGTTTTGAGGTGAGGGCGTGGCCTGAAGTGAGGGACTACGATTATCGGCAGCATTCTTGAGCAAGCAGTCGCCATTCTTCCTAATTCTTCGGTCGTGTGTTAACACGGAGAATATTGAACCAGCGTCGTGAGCGGACGTGTGTAGTGGTGCGCTGGTAGTGGGGAGCGTTGTCGATCGAAGAAATAGAGCTAATTGAAGAATCGAAGAAGACTTGTGTTGCGGAGGGAAATTCGTCGGGAAACGTGCAGTACTCGGATTTTGAGTAAAAGAACACAACCTATAGATTCCGAGATATCTATATTACTGTGGAATTTAGCGCAGTAAAGATCCGCCATATTGACTGCCGCATACCGAACACGTGGCAAGAATAAAATTTTTTCCTGGTGACTGACTTTTATGCCTATATAAGACCTGGGGGGGAGCTGTCCCCCCCCCCTCGTAATAGTAAAAAAACTAATCCTTTCTCCTTTTCACATCCTAACCATAAGCTTATTCAAAATGACGAAGATTGCCTCAATCGGATAGCTGCCTTTCTCCCTCCCTAAATGATTATTGATACTAATAATGATTATGTTTTGCAGCCCTCCCCATCTCAGCCGTTGTCGTCTCGTCCGTCATCGTCGTTGTCGTCCCGGGGATTCCCTGCCTGTAATAGTGGAATCCGATCCACCTCGTAGTGCAACTCGTGGCAATTTCAAAGCAAGTAAGAAGCGTAAATCGTGATGATGTGGCGGAGAAGATGCCTGACATCGGTCTGGGGGCGCCACATTGGGATTGAGCTTGAGTAAGCCTCTTCCTTTAATAAAGTCCATCCTAGTAGTAACTTTAATAAAGTCCATCCTAGTAGCAAATATTTCAATTCGCTTTCACTTCAATACGAGAGATTTTCTCGGGGATCATTTGAGGTTATTACCCAGTCCTCGGAATCCCCTCCTCTTCCGTTGGATTCTCTCGCCTTTTATTTTCGATGGTTCAGAGCAAGAGTATTCTTGAGATTTAAAAAATTGATTTTTCCAAAATTTCGGTAAGTTTTAGAAATGGAGAAGAGGCGAATAGAATAGTCTCGAATCCGTTTCTTTTATCTAAAAATTTAAAGTTTATATTCTGTCATATAGGTAGAGGCGTGCAAATCTGCTCTCACTCCCGCTCGTTCCCGACAGCGAGACTGGATTCTCGAGAGTCAGATTATCGGGAGCGCTGTTATCGAGAATAGAGGCTCGGGAACGAACGAGTCCCGAGTCCCGATGCTCTATTAGATGGAGTGGGGGTCGAAATCTACCCCCACTGTCCTGGAAACGAAATCCGTGGGTAGATTAGACAGGGATCTCAATTACCTAATCCTTGTTCTTAGAAATAAACTCAGATCGGCCAGACTTCAGGGCATCGATATAATCCTGTGTTGAATTCCCGCGCATGCGGGAATTTTAGGAAATGAGACTGCGGATTTCCTTGCCGAGGAGGCAACGGAGGAAGGCGTATGCTCGGAATACCTTATCCCGTATTCAGACCTGTTTGCAGCGGTGAGGAGAACTTCCATCCGCTTCTTGTCCTCGCAAGCCCTTCACAAGGGCTCTTTATATTTTGATCGATATGGTCCCTTCTCCTTTGTCCCATGGTTTATCAAGCTCGATCTTGGACGCGCGGAGATTGCCACATTTTGTAGAATACGCTCTAATCATTATAATCTTAATTTCAGCCTCCACAGGAGTAATTTGGTCGGATCTCCTGCATGTGATTGTGGTTCCCCGGTGCAAGACATAGATTATATTGTGGAGTTGTCCGTTATACGCCTCTCACCGTCCAAAGCTAATAACATCTTTGAGGAGGAACCTGGAGGAGACTAACATCCCGTGTTGTGTATTTTCCGTCTCCTTATATAATTATCCGATTATGACTTTCCTTCGTGCCTGTCATATAGACATATAAAATAATTTTATTTGTTATGTGATATTGTTATTTACATCGTGACAATGAACAGTGCCAAGATTTATGCAAGGACATTTTAAAAAAATCAAGAAGAACAGGATTTTGAGTCTGCTCCCTGGCAGTGTGGACTAATCGATCCAGTGCCAAAAAATTAAAGAAGAAGAAGAAGAAGTGTATTAACACTGTTAACACAAGTATTCAAGGTTGGGCGTTGTATCTTATGGTGGTGATCGTTTACCTGGGGCAATATTATTGCTGCGAGTTCGATTTGAGGCCATTGGTGATAATTTAGCTTCGCTTGTTCCTCCTTTGTTCCACGATTGCTGTGTACTTGAACAATATACGGTTCTCGTCTCGGTATCTTCTGGGGCCTTTATTTGCAAACCTGATATCGATCGCCAAGCATTCCGCTCCCGGCTTGTCATTTTTTGACGGCGTAGTAACTATTTCATAATCCCACCGCCATCTTACATTATCGTTTAATTTGATCTTTCTGAGAAGATATTATAAGAGCATCAGAGGATAGTAATAAGAGCGTTTCAATTTGATCTGAAAGAAAAATAATAAGAAAAATATAAAGATTTTTCAACCGCTGGTCAAAAATTACGCCAACACAAAGTCGCGTTACTATCATGTTGAAATCGCAAACATTCTGTTTCCCGAAAGATGTAAAGGAGAGAAATTCAACAACTAATAAAGAAGAGTAAGTTTGACAATCTTATTTTTTTTTCTTCCTTTTTATACAAATGTTACTGGGTGATAGCGATATCAAAATAATCGCACATGCCGGTAAGAAAATAAATGAAAATAAGAAGCTTGCAATGACATGAAATACAACTAATACAAATTAAAGTGAATGAATAGGTGACTAAACTGAAAGTGATCAAATATTTGCAGTGAAATGCAGGAATATCAGAAGAGAATCTTGCAATACGTTCCAGCAGAGAAAATAATTCCAATGGATCTTAAAAATTCGCTGCTTTTCCATTTTTTAAAGCCAGAATTTATCTCACAAATTCATATGGTTCTAGTATATGGTAAGATTTATCATTTTCTTTCCATGTTGTTTTTTATTTGTTATGTGATATTGTTATTTACATCGTGACATTTTGAAATAGATGACAATGAGGCTATAATTGTGACAAAGGACAAGAATGTCTATAGCTTAAGTTATTCAGATCCTGATGACTTACATACTGCAATCTACCCCAAAAAAATAAAAGAATTATGTGGGAAAAACATAAAAACCTTAGCTCACAGCAATTTTTTCATCCTGGCGCTTACAGAAGAGGGAGAGGTATATCAAAAAGTTTATATTCCTTGAATGTGCCTTAATGATATCTGAGTATCTGGAAACAAATTTTAACTTGTTTGAAAGATAAGATTTGTATTAGGAGGTTCTATATCCTCCTTAAATCATGCATTTTTCTTAGGGGACAATGTAAATTTAAATTTCTACATATATAAAACTGTAGTTTCATGATTTTAAAAGCATATAAAAATACCAAGCGTAAAATAATATCAGACTTTATCATTAATCTTTTGTTAAATCTTTAGATGCTTTCATGTAACATTTTAAATATAAAATAAGATTTAAAAAAGAGAATTATACTATCTTTGAAGAATTATACTATCTATCAAAAAGTGTATTATACTATCTTTGAAAGGTTTATTACTGGGAATTTGAAAGCTGGAACTTATGGGATACTTATGATAGTTCTGGTACTTACGTACCTGACGAGCATATAAAAATATCCACGCCTACTCTAGTCCCTAATTTAAGCGAGAAACGTATTGTGGACATCGCATGTGGCAGAGGTCATTCTCTCGCTCTGACTAGCGATGGAAAGGTAAGCAAAAGATTATAAACTGTCACAATATATAACGATAATAATCATTCTTATAAACTAAATAATTGTTTGTAATTTAGGTATATGCTTGGGGAGAAAATAATTATGGGCAAATTAATGATGAAAGCGGATTTAGTTTTATTAGTACGCCATTTCAGGTGAAACATGAATTGGAGAATAAGAATGTTGTCTATATCGCGTGTGATTTATTATGCAACATAGTTATAACTGATAAAAACGAAATATATAGTTGGGGCGAAAATGATAGAAACAAGATGCGAAACAATGCGTCACATTGTTGCCCACTGCGAATTATCATCTGCAGTACAATCTGGGATAAAATAGGTGATTTTTTATTTTTGAGATTTGATTTTTAAGAATGTTTTATTATCGAACATCCTCATGGAAATGGAATGATGTTTCAGTTAAGGTGACCTGTGGATATGATCATACATTGGTACTTACTAATAAAGGAGATATCTATGCCTGGGGCAGTAACCATTTCGGACAAATCGGCCAATATGATTATTATTTTATTAAATTTCCTGAAATTTCGAAGGTAACTCGTGAATTATTGATGAAACACTTTAATAATTACCGTGATGAGTAGGACAAGGAACAAAATGATAAGAAAAGATACGATCGACAGGTGAATGTGCCCGAGATGGGAAAAGTTTTAGATATCGCTGCCTTGCGTTTTTCGAGCGTTGCTGTCGGGTATGATGGAACTATCTATGTATGGGGTGAATTAGTTTATAAGTATAATGATAGTAATTATAATGATAGTTATTTAGTTTATAATTATAATGGTAGTAAGCGTCATTCTAAAACCCCACTTCCCACAAAGTTTTCGAGGATTCATGACTTCTTGCATGCGTACAATGGCTGGAAAATGATATACAAGCCATTGACTCTGTTTACGAATGATTACAAGTATGTTGAAGAAGTATTGAATATATTGGAATCGATAGGAGCAGCATTTGATGATCCGGTATGTTTTTTATTATTTTGTATGTACTTTTTTGAAATATACAGCATAAACCTAAATATATATATATATATATATATATATATATATATATATATATATAATACATATTTTCTTACATTAGTCTGATTGGTGTAAAATAATATAGAGATTTATATATATATATATATATATATATATATATATATATATATCCACAAATCTCTTATATATATGAGATTTGTGGATTTTTGTAAAAACAAATTAAAAATTTTTTTTCTACATAGAAAAATTATATTATGTATTGATGGTTTTGATCGAGACTTCTGGATTCACTCAATCATATATTATTGAATTATAATATTAAGAGTGAAAAATTACGTACTTTTTATGATAATTTTTATATTAATCTAATATTATTAATTTATTTAATAATTTTTGTTCTTCAGTTAACAAGCGATTTTATCATACAAGTTGAAGGACAATCTATTTATGTTCATAAGTTTATACTTAGGATTCGTTGCGAATATTTCAAAAAGATGTTTCAACATGATTGGTCTGAAAATATTCGAAGGTAAATTTAGAGAAAAAACTGGTACTTGAGAATTTCTCAATTTTAGTTATTACATAATGTCACATTGTTTCTTGACAGTAAATCTGCTTCATTATTAATGTTCACTGTACGGGATAAATTTTCTTACATCGTTTATAAAGCCTTCTTAAAATATTTATATACCGGCACAATCGATTTACCTTCGGAGAATGCATTAGGTAATTGAAGCTATAAACGTAAACTATCACAAACTTACAATTCAAATACTACAATGACACTTTTTTACAGAACTTATGGAGTTGGCCGACATGTATTGTGAACCCAATCTTAAAAAATATTGTATCCAAGTGATAAAACAAGACATCACTTTATCAAATGTAGCATTCTTCTATGATGAAGCGGTTGTATACAATGCTAAGGTAAGTATTACAGTTTAGGGTTAATGGCTAATGTTGGAATTCATTAAGTGCAATTTATTTTATATATATACAATATATGTATGTAATGTCGAATATCATGTGAATTTTAGGAACTCGAGGAGTTTTGCTTCCAGTTTATTCTACGTCATATGACAGCTAACACATTATTGGAAGATATTAAGTTAGACATGAATATGCAGGCTAAGTTTATGCAAATAGCAGCGACACAAAGTCGCGATACTATCGTGTCGATATCGTCGAAAAAATCCTGTTCTCCGGAAGCTGTAGAGAAGAGAAATTCAGAAACAACAACTAATATAAAAAAGTAGGTTTGACAATCTTGTTTTTTCTTCCTTTTTATATAAGTTACTATTGAGTGATAGTGATGTCAAAATAATTGCATATAGTGGTAAGAAAATGGATTAAAACAAGAAGTTTGCGATGCATGAAATACAACTAATATAAATCATAGTGAAATAGGTAACTAAACTGAAAGTGATCAATTATTTGCAGTAAAATGCAAAAATATGAGAAAAGAATCTTGCAAAGCATTCTAGCAGAGAGGATTTTAATGGATCTTAAAAATTGGCCATTCTTCTGGCTGTTAAAGCTAGAATTTATCCTACAAATTCACATGATTATGATATTTCGTAAGATTTCTTTTTTTCTTTTCGTATTGGCTTTTTTCTAAGTGATATTGTTACTTATACCTGACATTTTGAAACAGAGCAGAATGGCAAGGCTATAATTGTGACAAAGGATAAGAATGTCTACAGTTTTGATTATTCTTCAGAGTTTGATGACACACATACTACCTATCTTAAAAAAATTAACGAATTGTGTGGAAAAAACATAAAAACCTTTGCTCATAACCATTTTTTAATTCTGGCTCTTACAGAAGAGGGAGAGGTATTTCAAAGAGTTTATATTTCTTGAATATGCCTTGATATATTTAAGTTTTTAGAAGCAAATTTTAACTTGAAAGATAAGATTTATATTCGGAGGTTTTTTTTATATCCTTCCTAAATTATGAATTTTTCTTATTTCTTTGGCAACAAATGGAAATGAAAATTTTACATACATGTATATAAAATCATAATGAAATATAAGTAGATAAATTAATTAAGAATATATATTAAATAATTAAATTGTTTTAATTATAAGTACAGATATATTTGATCATAATGTTTATTTCAACATTCAATTTCAAATATTTTTAAAATTACGATTATAGAATATGAAAGATTGCAATGAGGTAATTTTTATTTTCTTAATTAGAGAAAAAATATGAAAAAAATTTTGAAAAGCAATCCCTGATGAACAAGGAAAAGCAAAGATTGCATCATTTTTCATTCTTTATATATTCAATATGGTTTTTGTACAAATGACAGCAATATACACACACATACTACATTATAGTTCCGTAATATGTTAAAAATGTAAGAAAGCGTCCATTTTTTTATATCTATTAACGTAGAATTTATACAACAATCAATTTATTATAAGTCAATTTATTTTTCATCTATCAACATGAATTTATATAATATAATCATCATGAATTTATATAAATTTATTAAAATAAAAATCACTTAGGATGGAAATAGTATCAATTTTTATCATTAATCTTTTGTCAAGTTTTTTCTATTACTGCTTTCATATTTAAACATTCTAAATGAGATTCAAAAAATGAAATAAAAAAATGTATTACTGCTATGCTATTTTTGAAAGGTTTATTCCTGCAACTTCATAGAAAACAAAAGGGATGTAAGTATACCTGAAGAATCCACGTTTACTCAAGTTGCCAGCTTAAGAGAAAAATATATCCTGGACATCGCATGCGGATATCGTCATTCTCTCGCTCTGACTAGTGATGGAAAAGTAAGCAAAAGATTATAAACTGTCACAATGATAATGATAATATAATTATTCTTATAAACTAAATAATTGTTTGTAATTTAGGTATATGCTTGGGGAGAAAATAATTGGCAAAATAAAGGGCAAATTAATGATGAAAAAATAGTTACTTTTATTAGTACGCCATGTCAGGTGAAACATGAATTGGAGAATAAGAATGTTGTCTATATCGCGTGTGGTCCATCATTCAACATAGTTATAACTGATAAAAACGAAATATATGGTTGGGGCAATAACGATAGCTGCCAGATTTCAACCGTTCAATCGGATAAATATTACAGATGTCCACGCAAAATTATCACAATCTCAAATAAAATAGGTGATTTTTTATTTCTGAAATTTGATATTTAAGAATTTTGCATTATATCGAACATTCTCATGATTGAGATGGAAATTGACATTTCAGTTAAGCTGGCCTGCGGATCTGATCATACGTTGGCACTCACAAATGAAGGAGAGATCTATGCCTGGGGCGATAACTTTTACGGACAAATCGGCGTTAAAAAATTGAGACATTCTGGTCCGATTATGGTAACTTATGAATTATTGATGAAAAACTTTTTAATAATTGCCATGATGAGTGGGATGAGAAACAAAATAATAAGGAAAGATATGATCAATAGGTGAACGTGCCCGAGATGGGAAAGGTTTTGGATATCGCTGCTTTTCGTAATTTGAGTGTTGCCGTCGGTCATAATAGGATTGTCTATATATGGGGAAAATTCGCTCCTGATGTCAATCGAATTAACAGCCCGTTTCCCACGAAGTTTTCGACAATTCACGACATGTTTGCGTACAGTAACTTGGACACAGTCATGTATAAGCCATTGACTGTGTTTACGAATATTGAAGAAATATTGAATATATTGGAATCTGTAGAAGCAGCATTTGATGATCCGGTATGTTTCCTATTATTGTGTTATATGTTACTCTTTACATTATATGGCATAAAACTAAATATATATAATACATATTTTCTCATATTAGTCTGATTGGTATAAAAGAATATAGAGATTTATATATAAGAGATTTGTAGATTTTTGCAAAAAAATTTTGAAAATTGAGAAATTACGTATTTTTTATGATAATTTTTATATTAATTTGATATTATTAGATTATTTAATAATTGTTTTTCAGTTGTCGAATGATTTTACTATACAAGTCGGACCACCTATTTACGTTCACAAGGCTATTCTTAAGATTCGTTGCGATTATTTCAAAAAGATGTTTCAACATGATCGGGCTGAAAATATTCAAAGGTAAATTTAGAAAAAAAACTCGCACTTGAGAATTTCTCAACTTTAGTTATTATATAATATCAACGCATTATTTTTTGACAGTATATCGGATTTATCATCAGTGTTCACCGTATCAGATAAATTTTCTTACATCGTTTATAAAGCCTTCTTAAAATATTTATATACCGGCACAATCGATTTACCTTCGGAGAACGCATTTGGTAATTGAAGCTATAAACGTAAATTATCACGAACTTACAATTCAAAAATTGCAATGACACTTTTTTTACAGATCTTTTGGAATTGGCCAACAACTATTGTGAAGCCAATCTTATAAAAGATTGCAGTCAAATAATAAAAAAGACCATCACTGTGTCAAATGTAATTTTCTCGTACAATAAAGCGATCGAATACAATGCTAAGGTAAGTTCGAAATTAATCACTACTTATTAGAATTCATTAATTATAATGTATTTATTACATATATATATATACAGGGTGTCCCATTTTAATCCATCCAATCGAATATCTCGAAAACCAAGCTTGAAAGAGAAAAATGTTTCAGACAAAAGTTGTATGGTTTCTAGGGGGACATAAGATGGTACCATTGGTTTGACCTTGAAGAGTTATTTGAAGGTCACATGAAGGTCACCTTCAATTTCTTAAATGGAATCTACATTTTCTCATTACATATTCTTGTAGCTTATCTCGAGAGCTTTCCAAAACACTATAATAAAATATTTTTTTATTGAGTACTTTTCGAGTTATGAGGCTTGAAATCATTTCTTAATTTAACATAAACCGTAATATATCTAGTAAAATATTCATTTTTCGATTATCTTGCTTTAATACTTTTATGTACAAAATAATGAGAGAAATCAATGGTGTAAAAAAAAACTCATAGTTGTTTCAAAGAAAAAATATGTAATTGTTAATTGCAAATTACATATTTTTTCTTAAAAATAACTATGTGTTTTCTTTACACCAATTGATTCCTCTCATTATTTTGTACATAAAAGTATTAAAGCAAGATAATCGAAAAATGAATATTTTACTAGATATATTACGGTTTATGTTAAATTAAGAAATGATTTCAAGCTTCATAACTCGAAAAGTACTCAATAAAAAAATATTTTATTATAGTGTTTTGGAAAGCTCTCGAGATAAGCTACAAGAATATGTAATGAGAAAATGTAGATTCCATTTAAGAAATTGAAGGTGACCTTCATGTAACCTTCAAATAATTCTTCAAGGTCAAACCAATGGTACCATCTTATGTCCCCCTAGAAACCATACAACTTTTGTCTGAAACATTTTTCTCTTTCAAGCTTGGTTTTCGAGATATTCGATTGGATGGATTAAAATGGGACACCCTGTGTGTATATATATATATATATATATATATATATATATATATATATATATCATGTCGAATATAATATGACTTTTAGGAACTTGAAGAGTTTTGTTTCCAATTTGCTTTACTTCACATGACAGATGTAGTATTATCGGAAGATTATATTAAGTTAGATATAAATATAAAGGATAATTTTATACGTAAAGCAGCTAAAGAAAATGCTTTCAGAACGTAATGTAGATGTTTTAAAGAGTGTAATTCTTTTGACAAAAGTTTTGAGCCAAATCATTGACTGTTTTTTTATTTTTATATGGGCACCAATAACACCCCTAACAACACACATGTCCAAGAGATGTTCAGAAGTCATCGAGAGGATATCCAAAAGACATAAAATATCCTTTGGCTGTCCTCTAAATATTCTATGGACGTCTTTTGGACATGTGTATTGTCAGGGATCATATGCATCCAATAATAAACCTTGTTCCATTTTGTAGTGTAACATTACATAATAGAATTATGAAATATGTAATTTTATCTAGTAATTTTATTTATCAATTGAGATATTTACGTAATTTATTCAACCCTTAAATAATACTCTTAAATAATAAATTTGATATCATCATAAGATATCGTTTTAATATTATCATAAGGAACGACTATGTTCAAAATCCTCGTTTTTTTATCTAACAAGAAAACGGAAAAATGTTTACATCAATTGCCAAGTTTCCGAAGTTAGTACTGTCGGATTCAATTGCTGCAGGGTAGTTTTCCCGCCCATCGAGGCGGGAAACAAAATTACCAATGTGATACTAGCAAAAGAGATAGACATAGTCCTCCCAGTAGTACTTCTCTCTTTATAGCGGGCGCTCGCCTGTCTATCGCGATGCTCAGTCCTGTATATATGTCGATGCTTTGCACGTACAAAAATTTTAGTCGTAACCGTAAGGTCGTAAGAAAACCTGACCAATCATAGTTGATTATTTTTTTATCGCAGAAAGAATACTCGACTATGATTTGTCAGTTTTCTTACGACTTTACGGTTACGACTAAAATTTTTGTACACTCTGCGACAACGATTCGTTCCGTGGTCTCTCTCGCGGGGCAAGGGAAGCGTAGAAGTGACCAATCAGCTGGCAGCGTGGCAGTGGCTGATTGGTTAGAGGCTACGCTCCCCTTGCCTCGCGAGAGGGACCACGGAACGAATCGTTGTCGCGCAGTGTACGTGCAAAGGCCTTTACTGTTCAATCGTGATTGGTCAATTTGCTTACTGATTACGTTTCACCATGGACGTATGAAATACTGGACAGAGTGTATTGCTGCGGGAGTAAAGCTCAAAGGGTGAGGGGAAAGAAATGTCTACTGCAACGGAATATGAGGCATGTAAGATTCACGGAGTGTGATATTTTTGAATTTCTTAATATTCAGAAATAATTCGGAATAACACAGCGATTTCAGATGATAGATGATTTCACGGAATCTCTCATATTTTATTCGATTTACGTCCGTGCGACGTGAAAATAGACGCTAAATCTGAGGCATCTAAGATGGCCGCGACAATAAATCCCGTACCCCTCAGGCTTTACACGCCTCGTCTAAAAGAGTACTTTATGCTCTGTTCTGTATTTTTTACGTCCATGACGTTTCACTGTATACGTTTTTTCGTGTACCAGGGCCTTAAGTCTTAAGAAATTGATCAATCACAGTCGATTATTCTCTTCATACTTGACTGTGATTGGTCAATCTCTTAAGGTTTGAGGCTTAAATAGCCTATTGTAGACCCGGCCTAAGAAACTGTCGATAAGGGCCCTCACGAAATTGCATAGCTGCATATGCATAGCATAAGATCATATGGACCAATGAGCATTGAGTATCAAGTCGCCATGTTGACTTACATAACATAATACTTGATGCTCATTGGTCCATATAGGCTTAGGTTATGCATATGTAGCTATGCAATTTCGTGTGTGATAGCCCTAATGCTGGTATAACATTCCGTCAATATGGCGTTTACGCTGTGGACGCTTTTCGAGGCAACTTTGCTATGTTTAAATGCAATTTGCATTTTGAATGAGCAACGGTTCCTCGCCAAAGGTAATAATTAACACATTAACTGTCTTCATTGTTTTATTTGTTAATTACATCTTGTATTAATTACATATTTCATATAATGGTTAATATAGGTTATAGTTAGTATTATAGGTTATAATGTTTTAAAAAATTAAGCCTAAAAAATTTGTGTTATGTGCGTTACGTTTTTAATTGCTATTATTAAAATTAATATTTAATTTTTTTATTGCAGTTGGCTGGGCATCATGGCAAAATGTGCAAGGATTTGGAGAACCTCCTACAGCCAAATCACAAATATTGAATCTTATTAAATCGATACGAACTGTGATGAGGGGTAAGTAATTTTAATTCTGATTACCTGAGATTCTAATTATTATATCTTTCATACAATGTCAATTTTCAGTTCCTCTGATATTCTTTAATATCTTGACAATAATTGTGAAGCTCGTACTTGGCTGAGAAGGGAGAATTATTACAATGTAAATATTTTGAAGTAGAATGTAAGTCAAAGTGATGTGCGAGAGAATTTATATTATATTATTTCCATGTTTACAATAAAGCAGTATTTTGTAATTTTTATCATAAATCTATTTACAAAAGAGAATGATAATGGATTAACCATTGTAATGTAAAACAAATAGTATGGCATCTTTTTACTTGCTTCTAAAAATTAATGATAATTTATAATTGATAATTTATAATTTAAGTATAAGGATATGTATTATTTGTAAAATTATTTATTTACTCAGCATAGTTTTATAGAAATTTGTCTTATATAGCTATGTTTATTCATATAAATGTGTGATAAAATTTCTATTAGGCAGTATTTAATAGTAAAAATTAATAGTGATATTTCTTAAACTATGGCTGAATCACATTAAAAATGAAATTGATAGTTTTTTATATTTTAAATTACATTGGTTGTGTTGCCGATTAGCATTCATGATGAAATACACAAAGATAATAATAATTTAATAAATTAGAAAGTACATTTTTTAATTGGTCTTTATCAACAAATTTTTTTATCAATTTTTGATGAAAAAATGTAGGTAATATTAAATTTTTGATACATCTTTATTATAATGTTTGTTATTATATTAATATGTACTATATTAATATAATATGTATTATATTAATATGTACTTACATGGTAAATGTATATTCAGGAAAATCTAGAGATGATTAATAATGCCAACATTGAATTGAATTTAACTGCAAAAAAAAAATATATATTTCTCTGTTATATACGTATTAATCGCTTTATAAATGAAAGTTTGTGAGAAATTCTTGCCTGCTTGTCACATTGCTTATAATTCAACAATTCCAAAATTGGCGTCTTAACATCTTTATTATCATTCACGATGAAGATTCGTGCAACTTAAAAGCAATTAGTTTATGAATATGTATATACAGGGTGGCCCCGAACGTTCCAGCCAGACTTTGAGATCTTATAGGAAATTTAATTCTGAACAAAAAATTTTCTATAAACATGGGAAAAATGCTTCCTTAAGAAGTTATCGCTCAAAAACTTTTGATGAAGGAAGAGCAAAAGATGAAAAGAAAATGAAACTAAATAAATTTCTTGAAAAAAACGATAAAAATAAAAAATAAAAATCTTTTTCTTTTATGAAAATAAAATAATTTTGTTTTTTTTTAAACTTATATTTTAGTAATAGTACGTAATAGTAGAAAATGAATAAAGATGTTTTTCAAGAAATTTATTTAGTTTCATTTTCTTTTTATTTCATTTTCTTTTCACCTTTTGCTCTTCCTTCATCAGAGGTTTTTGAATGATAACTTCTTAAGGAAGCATTTTTCGACGCATGTTTATCGGAAATTTTTTGTTCAAAATTAAATTTCCTATAAGATCTCAGTCTGGCTGGAACGTTCGGGGCCCTGTATATGGCTTGCATAATAATTAATTTTCTACACACACGCATTTACTGACACCAGCGCGAGTGAAACAAACGGTAGCCCACGCAACAGGTCACGCTTCCGCTCATTTCCATTTCAATTATTTCTTCCCGGATCATTTGAATCGTAAATCGTCTGGCCAGCGCGCAAGATATGTAATCATCGACGCTCGCGGAAGATGCGACCGACCTGTGCTCGGCGTCTTCCTTCTTACAGATTTACGGACAAGAGTAACAGGACGCTCTCGGAAGACGCGGATGATTTTCCCGGTAACTTTCTTTCTCCCCTTCCTCGCTTTCTCAGGACGAAAGAAGCGCCTTTACGGGATAATCAATGGCTATTACACCGGATTCGCAGCAATTTTTGTTCGTGTGTATGTGCGTGCGTGCGTACGACAGGTAAAACTTATTATTAAGCGTGACTTGCACGAACATTCACGCATTCGTTGTAATGTTCGATTACGATATTTCATTTCCTCTTTGATTTTATTGCATTTTTTTCTTACATTTGTCGTTTGAATCGGTTACAACTTGAAATTTCTTGTAGTAAAAAAAAATTGTGTGTAAAACTTTGCGTGAATTTCAATTTCATACAACTTTCTATTATATATATTTGTAATGAAATATATAAAATATATATATATATTGATATATTTATAAAATATATATATATATTGATATATTTATAAAATATATCAATTATATCACGATATTCAAATTCAAAAGTCACGTTAATCACAATTTCATATAGTTATTAATTTTATATAATTATATAAAATTATTAACTAAAATAACTATAAAATAACTATATGAAATTGTGATTAACATGATTTTCAAATTAGTTTATTTAATTAATAATTACAATTTTATATACGTTATATAAAATTATTAACTATATAAAATTGTGATTAACATGATTTTTGAATTTGGATATCGAGATAATAAATGATGATAGCATAATTTTAACACTATTGCTTTTCAAACATAATTAGCTGATTTTAGATTTTTTCAGAAAGCATCTCACATAGCTATAATTGATGATTAATTAACGAAGATACTTGAAAGTTGTATTCATTTATTCATGTATTATTGAATGTAATCTTGTGAACGGCTTTTTTTCAACTCGACCGACTTCACACGGCTAAGAAAATATTAATCTTTGATCGGTGAAAGAATTTCTGGAATTGAAGATATAAGAAATTGCTTTACACGCAGCCCCCTCCTCCCACATGTGAAGTAACGTTATAACGGCACGATCATTTCTGTCGGAAATTACGAGCTCATTTGCGGTTCTGTAAAGATGCAATGCTAATCGCACGGTTGTGCAAGCACCTTGTCTGTTGTCGATGGATTGATGGATTCGCTAGTTTCAAGATACGCGAGATATTCAAATAAAATATAAGTTTATATGTAATATAAACGACTCACAAAATAATACTTCACATAACTTGCTAATTATCTTATAAACAAAATGAAATCATGTTGAACCGAGAAAAAAAAACGTATCGTTGATTCATCTTCTGCAACGCGCAAGACACGGTATCTGATAAAATTCGTGCGATCTGACAATCAAACGACATGCGGTTCTACGTTACTCTCATAGTTGCGAAAAAAAAAAAATAGGAGACAACGGTTTGCCGTGTCAAGTGGAGCGGTTCGTCGATTGTCCTCGCGATCTCTTCTAGATTAACGCGGCGTTATAATGAGACACGAGTCGTTGAGTAACGCGTGTACTCTTGTCAAGAGTCCCGTCACAGAAATGGGACTGGCTGGCGAAAGCACGAGGAGACCCATTGTGTGGATCCAGGATATTTTATCTGCGCGTTTCGACAAATCTCTGCTTCTCTCCCATAATTGGTAACGCTGACGGGTATTGTCTACAGCGCGGATTTCCTCTCTCGACACACGCTCCTCTCATTTTCGCACGCTAGATTTTTCCGCTTCGCGGCAGATCGGATTCGCCGATTAAACTGTAGGCGTATTTAACGATCTATTCAGAATCTAAAGTAATCTTTAAAAGATGACCTTTTTCCATAAAATTTATCTCCCCCTCAATCCTTTCAATTTCCATTTTAATAACACCAACTCTCAAGTTAAATTTATACTTCTAAATATGTATCTGTACAGCACAGAACATTGCAGCAATATTACGGCAATCTTGCAATATTGCCGCAATGTTACAACAATATTAATAATATTGCTGCAATATTTTGTGCTGCATGAGTTGTTGTTACATTGCAGCAATATTGCAATGTTGCTTACATTGCAATATTTAAGTGTTGTTATATATACATTATATAATCCACTACTACTATCTGGATTATTGTATATTGTTGTTACATTGCAGCAATATTGCAGCAACATTGTAATATTTAATTGTTGTTATATTGCAGCAATATTGTAATATTTAATTGCTGTTACATTGTAGCAATATTGTAATATTTAATTGCTGTTACATTGCAGCAATATTGCTGTAATGTAACAACAATTAAATATTACAATATTGCTGCAATGTAACAGCAATTAAATATTACAATATTGCTGCAATATAACAACAATTAAATATTACAATGTTGCTGCAATATTGCTGCAATGTAACAACAATATACAACAATCCAGATAATTAATTTGACAAATTGTTGACATTAATACAATAGTTGGCAGCATAACAGTAATGTGAATAATCATTTTAATCAACATGACAGCAGTGCGATTAATCATTACGATTAATCACGCTTGATTATCTGGAAAGTTTATTTCAGTATCGATGTTCCAGTTTTACAGATCTTTTATCAGTACTAATGATGAATAGAGTCTGAGGGAAGAGAGACAAATTATTATTCGGGAAAGACGACACGACTCGCGTTCTTACTTACTTATAACTGGAACGCAGATCGCGCGCCAGGTAAGCGTAATTTTTCTCCTTTCGCACGCTGGTGGACGAGCTCGTCTCTTTCGCGCACCTCTTGCAAAATTTCACAGAGATTCTCACACGCGTCTCTCCACATCTCCCCCCCCCCAGCCGATCTCACCGTACCCCCTGACGCGCGGCACTTTCCCCGCTGGATGTCACACACGTAAGGTCTTTCGGGACAGATTGGCCGATACCGTGCTTCTCTCGGCGTCTTTTACGGAATTATTTTTAACAAACGGAATCGTTAGCGTGTCCCGCATTGTTAAGTAGAAATCATAAAAGTATATGCGAATTTTTCGCATATAAAAGACGCTTTTTTACATGATAATCGCATCATTATTTTTAATAGAAAGAAGGAATGTTCTTCCAGAATTGAAAAAAAATCTTTGTTTCTTATCTTATCTAATTTTTTAATTAAATGATAACTTATGACATCATGCATTGTGATGCGAAATTATGCAGAATTGGAAAATTCTTGATTATATACATCGTATCGTTTTATCTTTCCATTTAATTCAGATTCTAGATATGTCTAATTTTTTTATGCAATTTTTTTATCTTCTAAAATAAAAAATATATATATGACAAAATTTTCGTTACACGAAACTTTGTTCCATAAAATATTCGCGATTCCATTGCTCTTTAAGATTTCTAATTTGTGTGGCAAATGGTTTTAGTGTTATGAAAACAGATTTCTCACGCTTGAGAATAAGTTTCTACTGACGCGAAAATTATTTCAAACGTGCACAACATTTCTCGTCTTATGTGAAACATTCATTTTTCTTGCTCTTTCTTTCCGCTAAACTTCGCATTTATGTCTTATCAAGCACTTATTAAGCTCCTTATTAACTTTGAAGAGACGCTCAGCGATAATAAAAGATCGTGTCGAGATTGTAACTGCAACGACCATTTGTCGACAACTACTTTGCAAAAATACAATTTGTGCGATCTAACGTAGAGGATGTACTTCTCTTCATCGAAAGTATAATGAAGAACTCGATAAATCTTCTCGCGTCTATGCAATAACACCGACAATAATTTATTTTATTGGCTCTCACCCTCTTATGCAACTTCCAAGCCCGTACCGTTTAAATTAACGGTATTAACATTTTCTCGTTACGTAATTCTTGCACACCTATAATTTATGAGATTTTTCTTACACGCATATACATAAACGTCATCTCATAATACCTCGGAAACTGTACGTGCGAAAAATGTAGAGAAAATTTATTCGTGAACACAGATGTAATCATTTGAAGTTATACAGTTAAAAATTTAAAGGCACGACAAGAATGTATGTAATGATTTAATTTAAGATTGATTGTACTTTGATTAACTTTTGATTTTCTTCCTTGATGACTTGCAGTATGGGCGATTCTGACAGTATTGCTTTGCACAGTTTTCATATTAAATATTATATATTATATTTAGTAAATATTAAATATTATATTTTATATTATTAAATATTTATATTTATTAAATATTAAATATTATATTTATATTATTAAATATTTATATTTATTAAATATTAAATATTATATTTATTCTATTTTTCTAAATAAGATAGTGATTTTTCGCGATAAATGTACCGTCGTAAATATACTATAATGATATATATTTTTTGTCGTCTTTTTGGATTTAAAACTGGCTCATTCATTCATTAGCAATTTGCAAGGAAAATCTGAATAATCATTGTATACCTAACTTATCATAAATGCGGGTCATGCCGTATTGCATGAAACCGCTGCAGATGAATGTTGTCATAAATGCCTGATGATTGTTAAACATGTTAATTAAGTATTTTCAAGACTGCAGTATCTATAGACAATTTGAACGGTATTATAGGCTTAACTAATCCAATAAAGACGCAGTTCGAATCGTTTTCTTAGTTTCTCATTCTTCAACATAAAAGGAGGCTTTATACCTATATGAAAGAGAATAATTAGAGTTTGATTTAAATATAATCTAAAGAAGTAATAAAAACAATTTACAAATCTCAATTTACAAAACAATACAAATTGCAAATGAAATGTTTTTATTTTTTTATTTTACTGTTGAAAGAACTTTTTACCTTGATCTTTTAGATATCAATAAAAATCATAATTTTCCATGATTATTTAGCATAAATGAAAGAGTTTAAAACTTAAATTTATTGAATCTCATATTAATGAATTAATGTAATAATTAAAAATTCCTAGTATTTTAAATTAAAAATTTCTTATATTTTTATATTCAATCAAATTATTTTATATATAAAATATATATGAGATTAAATACTCATCCGTATTATATTCTAATTATTTATTAATTGATGTATTTATAATCATTTCATTTTGAGATCAAATTGCAAACTTTGAAGGAAGTGAAATGCAGAAATAAAATAATAATAAAAGACATATCATAACTCTTACAGTACATCTTCTCCTTAGAAATTGCATTTTAGCGAAATCTCCAAACACACAAGATAAATTCATGCATTCAAGCGACTTACATCATCTGTAATCAAGAAACTTTAATGCTAATTTCAAGTGAGATGACTCGAATGTGAAAGAGCGTGTTTCGTGATTGTGATGACAGTGCCATATAAGAAATCTCTCAAACGTAAAAAAGAAAATGAAATCCTCCTATCCTGCCGGATATCCTTTGGCCAAATAATCCGAGGATATTCCAGTGCCTCGAATACAAAAGTAGAATCAAGCGACTTTCGAATCTTGACCGATGATCGAGTCTCTCTTTCACTCTCTTTTTCTTGTCCCGTATGTCATGCCCTTTTGCAACTGACTTTTTTTGCGTCTTCAAATGCTGAGGACTTACGTCATATCCAGGTGAAAAAGTCTGGCCTTTCCCCCTCAGGATAATGCGAATCCATCGCGGATTCACGAGTGAAAGGAGAAAGGCGATCTCTCGTCGACGAAGAAAAAGAGAAACTGTCGGATATCTTTGGCAGATACGACGATGCGGAAAAAAAGCCAGCCCGAAGCGACAATCGACACGTTTCTGGCAGCCATCGTGGGATCACGGAGGATGTAATAGAATAGCGGAAACGCGCTAATCATATGATCATTGGCGATTAATGAAAGAAAAGTGAAATTGTAGGAACAATATAATGTATAAGAGAGAGCAATGGAAGCCCAGTCGTTCTGGGCGACAAGGGAAAATTGAAAGAACACAAGAAGGTGTTTCAACGGTGGCGACGTTCTTTTTTTTATTCTTTTTTCTACAAAAAAGCCTTTATACAAGTACAAAAAGATGCGTGGTTAAGGAAGTAGAGCGTTAAAATGTATTAAAAAAATAATATGTTCGTGGCTTCGCGTGTACGTGTCACTGGACACGGCGGCGTCCGTTCAGTAACCCAGCTCGCTCTTTCGTTTGCGAGAGAACACCCTCGGTGAATCTTCTCGCGGACAGAGATAGAGGTCGATTACTTGACGCGAAATCGATCTTACACTCTTCGCAATCTTCTCAGCCTTCCGAGAAATCGAAGGATCTTCTGCCAATCTATCAGCTTTTGATATCTTCGATCGTATCATGTTGACGAATCGATCTTCGGACCGGAAGAGCCGAGGAGGATTACGCAGCGGACGCCGCGATATAGCGATCATATGTGTATAATTTTATTTACAAGGCGCTGATCGCGCCAATCACGTCTTCGGCTTGTCGGCCTCCTCCTTCTCCTCCTTCCTTGTTCTATGAATGTCCCGACGATCGCCAGGAATGTGTGAAGTGTGTCTGTGTCAGCGATTGCGCCTGTCTCCTTACGTTATCACTGATCCTCGCGCGACTGACATCGATGACCGCGACGATTGATGCGATTTTGGTACGATAGACTTGGGCACCGTGCCGACTGCGCTCAAGATTTCAAGCGATCGAGTTTCCCCCGAAAGAAAAGAAAAGAAAAGTAAAACTGGCCACATTCACATTCCCGCGGACCCTGTCTTGTCGAAGCGACGACCGGTGGATTCCCGACAAGCCAAGGGTCCGGAAGAAGTGCTGCTCGGAGACGGTGCGCTTCCTTCCGGCGAGATCCCGGGAGATCCTGACCCGTTGAAGTTGACGACTATTTGATCCTCAACGGACCAGGCGCTGTCCCGCGAATCGCCATCTCCGCTTTTCGCGCACGTTTCCGTCTGACTTGTCCTTTGACTGAGTTCCTGAAGGAACCGCGAAGGCGGGTTTCGACGTCTCGTCTTTGAATTCTCTCGATCTGCGGCGAAACTACGGATCCGTTCGATACTCTAATCTTGGTATCGACGACCTTCCGAGTTGACAAGCTCGAGGAATGTATCACTTGCGAGGGAATCTGAAGACATCTATGATCTTTTTCCAAGTATATCTGATCTTCTTCATGGTCTTTTTATATTATATTTGTTTCAGCTGTGCCTCGGAAAGTAGTCGTTGTCGTCGGCCGATGCCATTATCAACTCTCTCATCCTCTTTCTCTCTATTTCATTCTCTCATTCTCTCTCGCTCTCTCTCTCTCTCTCTCTCTCTCTCTCTCTCTCATCATCTCTCTCAACTCAAGATGATCCTTAAAACGGAGCACCGTAGCCAGTGGATGGCCTGCTGGGCGCTCCGTAGCTGGTGCTAGGTCCGCTGGGGTAGCCTCCGGGACCTTGGCTGATCTGGTTGAATTGGGCAACTTGGATGGCCTGCCTGATGCCCTCGAGATCAATGCCTACGACACGGGTCTGGTAGCCGGGAACTCCATATTGCGTCGACGGGGGACCGTATTGCGAGGATGGGGCACCGTAGCTGGAGCTAGGCGCGTATCCGGATCCGCCGGCGAATCCGCCGCTCTGTTGGGATTGCAGCTCCTCCTTCAAGAGAATTTGGCGGATCTGCTCGAGCAGGGCGCCGTCCACGGAGGCACCCTCGCTGGTTTGACCACCGAAGGACACCTGGGTGTAACCGCCACCGCCGCCGCCGCCGCCGCCGCCGCCGCCGAAGGAGTAACCGCCACCGCCACCACCGCCACCGCCGAAGGAGTAGCCACCGCCTCCGCCACCGCCGGACGGTCTGCTGTAACTGTAACCGGACACAGGCGGCTCAGCCAGGGCGAACCCTGCCAGACCGACAATCATGCACTGTAACATACAAGAAAACACGTTATTTTTATTTGATGTTAAAATCGGTAGGTAAATATGATAGGTTTACATTCTAATTAACGAATCGCACGAATATCTATTTTAAATACTTTTAGAATATTTTTGATATCAGCCGTATTATCAAAATATTTTTTTCAATAGTTGAAGAATTAAAAAATATTTATTTTTGAAATGATCGTTCATCGTGAGATGCAAGGCTCTTCAGAGATCAGATTTCTGTCTATGCATCTTATGCATTAATCTTATCTCTTGAAGGAGGATCATATATCTTATTATTTAGATTCAGATTTATAGAATGTATGGCTTGTTTCATATATGACGCTCCTTTGGATCATTCTCAAAGATTAGATTGAATTTAATCTATGAATACGTCCCTTCCTGATTTTATAGAATCGTGTGGCTTTATTATCAAGTGTAATGGTAGCTTTAAATATATAGAATAGTACAATTGTAGGTTTGTATATCTCTATTATGAAGTTTTATAAAATTGATCTGTGTAAAACATATACAGATAAAAAGATGAGTTGTAAAAAAATATAAAAGTAATTATATCTGATTGAAAAGAGAGATAAAAATAATTTATATAATATATATTTATATATATTAATATATATTAATATATATATATATATATATATATATATATATATATATTTATTATATATATATATATATATATATATATATTTATATTTATATATATTAATATATAACTTTGAAAAATAATTATTTAAAAAAATTTTTTTTTCTCTAAAATATGACTTTAAAGAATTAACAAATTAAAAATGATTTTTTTAATATATTATGAATTTTTATAGAGATAATAATATAATTGAAAATCATCAATTAGTTCTTTAGGATTTTTCTAACGAATCTGAGAGGAAATCCAATATTTTAGAATTACTTAAATTATAGATAACGCTTTCACAAATCTTATTTTTAATTTTTGTAAGATGTCACACAAGTTGCGTTTTCCGCGAGAAATCAGAGAGACGCGTGCGAAAGGGAAAGCAGCACCATTAGATCAACAATCGTCTATCTTGCCTGTTAATGTGAAACTTGCAACACGTTAGTTTAGAAACAACGGCAGTGATGTAGGACACAATGATTCGGTCATCGTTTGCTATTTCTTACTGACCAAGATCTCGATCACACACATTTAACTCTCCCCCACCCACACGTATATCCGTACACCACATTTTCTTGTTCGCTTTCTTTTTCTTTTTTTTTTAAGTCCCCCTCTCTATCGTTCCTTAACGTAAGTAAGTATGAAAAAAGAAGCGTGCTTACCGCGATCAGAGGATTCATGTCGGCTTCTGCGATGCCGCTCAGTTCTGTGACTCCGTGGAAGGTAGACCGGAGTCATTTATACCCCCGGGAGAAGCAGGGGGATATACGTGCAGAGGCCCCCACGAAGAGAAGAAACGGGGGTCTCTCGCGAGTGAGAGTAATTCAGAGTTGTGAGACGATTCCCTCCCTCCCTCCTCGACCTCGTGCTTCTCTCTTTTTCTGTCGGAATCCATCCATATCCATCTATCTCGTTCGCAGATCATCGGTACATTCGAGATTTGGACGATGAAAAGTTGCGAAACATTACGGCCTCTCGATAGTCATGTCGTGGTCCTTAGACTTGTGTCCTAGACCTAGACTTCCTTAGTCGAGTGCTTTGTCGTAATAAGTCCCGTAAAGAACTTTGCCTCGGTTACCTGTTGAAGGCTGCACGTATCTTTTTCATCTTCATTTTTTTTTTGTTTTCCTTGCGATTGTAGCAATATATTATGACAGTTATGATAGAGAGGCAATTTGAAAATGGAGAAATAATTTGATATCTTTACATAAATCGCAGTTATGTATCATATTTTATGAGAGAAAAAAAGAGAGAGACAGAAATTAATTTTATTTTGAAAATATTATCTTCATATACATCCCAAATACGCATTTATATTAGTATTTGTATAGCGTATTTATGTTTGAAAAATACTTATTGAATTTTTTTCGCACGTATTTGTTGTAATAATAACTTTCATTATAGATTTTATTTCAACTACCTATTCAAGATTGACTTTAACGTGATTTTATTTTATATTGGAATTATATATCATGATGAGCAATTAAATGATTAAATAACTGAACATAATATATTAATACTGTTCACTTGGCATTATATTGCGTATCATGTATAAGTTGTGGTTATATAAGTCAATTTATCAAAAACACCATATTATATAAATTATTTATATTCACGAATAATTTACATTATGTTATATTTATATTGGTAAATTATTTCTATCTATTAATATTTTTCTTATCAAATATTTATTATTGTGCACATATAAAATCTTTTGCTTTAATTACTTGCTAAAAATTAATTTTTGTATATTTCTATTTTCTATGCAATTAATGTATGCAACATAATAAACGATCAATACAATTGTAAATGATGATAGTTAATGATTAAAAATTAATTTTATTATCAAAACAATATATGTATATATGTAAATGCATACATTATGATAAGGAAAGTTTATTTTTGTCTATCAATGTTCTCTTCTCTCGTTAATGTATAAAATAAGAAATGATCAATAAACATTACGATGATTCCAGTTGTTACAGCATTGTGTTGTAACATATTGCAAGCCGTTGTAATAAAATGCTGTGCGCGTGCCGCATTTTGCCGCTGTATTAATTTCGCGACAAGAATATGAAACGTTCCTTATGAGAAACGTGCGTTTAGAATTCTATCTTGATGAATCATCCCGATAAATATATACTTTCTTAAAAAATACAATCAATATATAGCATCATAAAAATCTTACAAAAATGAAGCGATATTAAATGTAACTCAATTGACTTAATTGTATTATACTATATTATAAAATTATTAAAATTATATTGTATTATAAAAATACAATATAATTAAGTCAATTGAGTTACATTTAATATCGCTTCATTTTTTTAAGATTTTTATGATTATGTATTGATATGTATGTATGCTATGTATTGATTGTATTCTTTAGAAAAGGATATATTTATTGAGATGATTTATCAAGATAGAATATACATATATGTATGTATATATATATATATATATATATATATATATATAAAATAGATATATACATATATGTATATATATCCTTGCCAATCTGAAAGTTTTATAACTACGATTAAGTAACTTGATCAATAATTTAAGAAGATAAATAGCTTTATTTTCAACACTGCTATAAAATATGAAAAATAACTTTTACATAAAGAGGGGGAATTAATACATATAAAGATTGAAAAATTATATAATACTTTTTCTTTATTAAAAAACACATTATAATAATAAAAAGCGAACATTTCGGATCATCTTTTGACTCTTCTTCAGCACGATGTTAACTAGTGACATTAGTTAACAGTTAGTTAACAGTTAGTTAACAGATAGTGACGCGTTACATTAAACGAACTTATTCTCGACGCGCAATGATGAATATCAGAACGATTGAGTTCGTCGATGAACTGAGTCATCGAATCTCGAATAAACATGAGGTGCACAGCGGCATATTATATTATTAATTGTAAAAAAGCGCGGAATTTCATCTGCTATGACATCGCATAGCATAACTATAATATATTTAATATTGATTATTGACGATGTCAGAACGATTGTTGAAACGAGTTTGTCATTGAATCTCGAATAGACATGAGTCGAGAATAAATTCGTTTAATGTAACGCGTCACTATCTGTAATATATATTGTTAACATCGCGCTGAAGAAGGATCAAAAAATAATCCGAAACGTTCGCTTTTTGTTATTATAATGTGTTTTTTTAATAAACTAATATTGAAAAAAGAAAGAAGTGTTTTGTTGCTTCTCTGCGCTCCAACTATCGCGCGTTGGCTCTTATGCCATTTTCTTTTTTGATTTTTTGATTACTTGAGCCAAGTCTCTAATTATTAAATAATATTTTTTTTATAATTATGTAAATATTTTACATAATTTTTTATTTATAACGATTATTATTATCCTTATTTGTAATAATTTTATTCAGTATATTATACATAAATATTTCATCTTATTCAATACACAATACATAAATATTCCTTAACGAGATAATTTCAGATTTTTCTAATGTGTTAATTTTGTTTTTCTTTTTTAATTGTCTAATATAATTAAATTAATTAATTAAACGTGATATAGTCAAAATTTAATACACTATGAAATAAATTCCTCTTTGCCATTAAATATCCTTAATTTATTTAAAAATTCTTTTCTATGCATTTAAATAAAAATTTAAATATAATAATAACTAAAAAAATCTGTATAAAAATAAAATTACTTATATATATTAATTGTAGATATTGCGATTTTATGACTATGTATGCTAATGACTTTTCAGTTCATGAATATAAATTCATGTTTATTCGGCTAGGCTGTGAGAATATATTATATAAGAGTTAAATTATAAAAGAGTTTATCTCACGCAACAAGTTTTCTTTGTTTGGGCAATGTAACACCGGATATGCGTCGAACTATTTCTTCATTAGATATTTCCTTTTCAGTTCATTTTACGTCATAAGATACTTTTTCTATTTTCTTTTCTATTGTATGATCTTTTTACACTTTAGATTAAGTAATTCTTTATTACTTTTTGTGTTATTAATTTTATTTAAGCTATAACAATTAATAGAAAAAAAGACAGATATGTATTAATTTATTCAAAAATTTCTGAGATATTTAAGATTACATATGAGATTTATTGTTTTAAAACATATTAAATTATTTATTAAATGAATATTTTTCTCTCTTTCTAAAGTATTATGAATTGCTTTAGTAAAAAATAAATACAGAAATAAATTTAAAAATTATTATAAATTATTATAAATTAGAAATTATTACAAAATGTTAGAAGAATAAAAAATAGAAGTAAATTAAAATTATTGACCTTAAAAAAAATTATAATCTTATACTAAAAAATTATATACACGCATAAATTTTAATTAAATAGGAATTAAGGAATTAATCATAAGGAATTAAAGTGTCTGTAATATATTCAATCTCTTTTCAATCATCTCGTAATACTGACTACTTAAAGAGCGGCAGGATAACAACAAGCCAATCTTTATATATCGAATAGGTCACTTGAAAGAAAGTTGGCAGAGTAATTTCGAGAATGCTTCAAGTCATGCGGCTAATAATCACGTCACTCTCGATTCAACTGATGTATCTATTAGGAAAGAAAAAGAGAAGGTATATTGATCCAACGCAATTTTTAACATTTCTCTGAGTGAAGATATTCGTAGCATTGCATAAGTTTCATAATCTACGTGTATAATGGAAAATAAGAGTAGAATCGATTTTTAATGAATCGATTTCTATATTTTGCGCTATAACTGTCTTAATACATTTTTTTCTGTAAAGAGATTGTCTTCAACTGTTCTTGTTATTGTAATTCAATGTATTTTATTGATATTACATCAGATATATATTTCAACGAATATTTCAGATAAGAATAATTAGCTCATAGACTTGTCGATTAAATCGATCAATTTATTCATCGAGAAATATCTTTAGCTGCCTAATTAATATTTGACGCGCACGTGAATTTGAAAATTTGAAAATTAGTTGTCCCCAGCTTGATCGCTTTACGTATGATTTCACTTACTATTCCATTTATACACGAAATATATACCTGCTATTTCAATCAACCTGCTATTTCATCAGAGGCAATCAGTACATACAGGATAGTTGAAGATAGAAATTAATGAAGATAGAGACATGCTGCAATATTTTACGATAATTTATTCTGCAATAGTGACGCGAGATATTGAAACAAAGTTGCGCTACAGACGAGGATAAATTATTTGCGTACGGAAATTTATAAAGGTTGTGCGTAAGCTAGATTGAACGATAGAGAACACAATCATCCATACTCTCTAATCAGACAGAGTCATGAACTCTTGATCGTTACAGAATAAGAATCCGACATGAGGAAGAAAAGTACATGCCTTGCCAACATTGTATCATCCGCGTGCTAAAGCTTCCGTGCATTCGAATCGACGTAATCATCGACTTTGAGGTGATCATCAACACACACACAATGTTACTGCATTAAAGTATTTCATTATAAAATGTACTTTGCCCGATGGTTAAAGCTTCATCGGAAATTTTCCAGGTAACTTAATAATCAACAATGATTAGATGTCGTTCTAGATTTTTTTTTATAATTATTTGTAGCTTATAAAAATTTTTGGCAATTAATATAAAGATAGAAAATTCCAGCTAGAATTAATTTAGTCACTTATGTTTTATATTCGTAATTTTAGTCATCACGGCTGACATTGCAAAGTACGATTGCCCGATAGCGGAGAAATTACCCATCACACACGTCTTCTCTTCAAAT